ATTTTGGGGGGAAAATTGAGTAAAGCTGGTCTAGTTGTTTGTGATAAATACTTCATTTGCCAAAAAAGCAGATTAAGGTAAAATAAAATTGTCTGCACATGTAATTGATTTAATCTGCCAAATAATTTGAGGTGAATAAAAAAAATGAATAAAACATTGTCTAAATGAACTAGCTTTCTATTTCAAAAACAAAACATTTTGGAATTTTGGGACTAGAGTTACAAAGGACTGTAGTGGCCAAGAAGCCAAGGTATTTCACAGTAAACATTCTGCATGCCCACATCCTCTGTGTTATATCTTATGAAAAGTAAATCTAACCTTTTAATTTAGAAAAGCAAAAGGATACCTTCCCTCCTCTCCCCCTCCCTCCCTGCATAACTTTTCTTCAAAGAATGTTATCCATTAATGAAGGAGATGAAGGAGGTTAGTATTTTATGTGGGTAACAATAACCAGCCACGGAAATGTACCATAGCAGACATGTTGATGCAGCTTCAGTGCTTGAGGCAGTGAGCAATTTAAGCAACTCAGGTGCTCATTCCTTTGAAACGTCAATGTACAATGCCACCCACAGCTGTTAATTGCCACATCTTGTCAAACCATCGGTTTATGGCTTACTACCCATGGTAATAGTCTGTAACTAGAGTTGGTCAAACATTTTTCAGTTATGCTTCCTCAAAAATCCAATTGAAGAATGGTTTTGAATAGTTTTATATATTTTTTTTGGGAAGAGGGGAGAAGAAAAACTCTAAATGCCTTGATGCTCTCGGGGTGCATCTACGTGAGACACTTATTGCAGTTGCCTAATTAGCTCTTCAGTAAAGCATCACCATCTACATGAGTGGTACTATTAGGCCACAGTGAACTAATTCACTCCACCATAGGATAGTATTGCCCAACACAAGTACTATTTTATGGCAGAATTATTTACTCTGCCCCAGTGCACATGTACATGGTGACCGGAGCTGGCTGAGGCCCGAGGGTGCTACAGTGTGGGGCTGCCTGCCGACTAGCATTGTACTGTAGCACCCTTGTACCCCAGCCAGCACCTCTGCAGCATGTTGAACTGGGCAGGAGCATCCCCAGGCTGGCAGGCTGACCCCCTCAGGCCTGCTGTCAGCTGGAGCATCACCACCTCAGCTCAATGTGCTGTGATTCCAGGCGCACATGTAAATGCTGTGCCTGGGAGCAGTAAACTCCGGTGCAAACTACCAGAGTTTGTTGTGTCAAATTAATTTTGCATGTAGACTCTGTCTCTCCATATTTGCGCTTTTCACAGAAATTTTATTACTTTGATAAAAGGTTTTCTAAAATTTTTTCCCTTTGCCATTATTATAGTTTTTGGCAAACAAGCAAACTCAGTAACTTTTCAACTAAAAAAAAAAACATGAGAAAAAAGAAGTAAAAAGTTTGCGTTAGTTTTCAAAGAAATTGTGAAATTAATTTTCCATTTTTCAGCCACCTCTAACACTGACTTATGGAGTTTTACATTTACATTAATTAATGTAAAAAGGGAAATCATTTTGATGTACATATCCCTTGGGCATCCAATGAAAGAAAAAAACTTCTTCCCTCAAAAAACTTAAAATATAAGGGACAAATGCTCACAGATACAGACATGCTATTTCCATTGACTTTATTGGGAGCTAGAATTTGGCTGTAAGTCAGGCTACCCCCGTAGCCAAACATGACTCTAATCTATGGTAGTTGGTGAGGTAAACTTTACATTTGTGTAAAGAACAGTAGAGGCACACAGTAAGCACAGGGAGGGAATTCTGCTCTATGAGGAACATGTTTAAAGGAAGAAGATTCTAAAGCATCTTGTTTCAGAAATGTCTTGTTTTACTTGTGTTATAGAGGTATGTTTATTTGGCTATGTGTCAATAAAAATAGGACTATAACAGATTAATTAGTCCATCAGACAAAGCAAATTTAGGCAGATCTCTACCAATTTAATTTCATTGTGAAGCATTTATCTACTGGAAATATATTTCAAACTGTTTGGGGCTGTTGGGTTTTTTTTAGCTTACTTCTTTTAGCCCTTGCCATGAAAAGCTAAAAGTTGACGAAAGTAAGTTTTTAAAGTGGAAATGTGGTGTATGTAATATATTTTACATGTAGAAAGTAAGGATTAACTCTTGAACCCTGCCTGAGCCTATAGAGTCAGAGGGAGTGTGAGGATTAGAAAAATGTTTTTGCCAGTTACTGTAGGTCACACAAATGAAACAGTGCCAGAATTTCAGTCAAAAGTTTAATTGCTCTTAGAAGTGGGTTGAGTATCAACATGACCCATTTATGCTTTTCCAAAAGTGCATTATCTCAGTGCAGGTTTGGAACAGTTTTGCTAATTGTGGGCCTGTGTCCAGTTTGAACATATAACAATGTGGGAGAAGGATAGTAATTTTCTGGTAGTTAGCCAACAACTACTTAAGTTAACTGAGGTGTCAAAAAAGATTTGAAGAACCAGCATTTCCAGTAGTTTCTGAAAATGATGGTTTAAGCAAAGAATTAGCTTAGTTTTAAAATGTTAGCTAGGGTATCTACTAATGTTGAGATGTTAGTAACAGTACTTGACATTTACGTAATGAAGTATCACACTACTGCAATGGATAGGAAGATGAAACTGGCACAGATAGGTTAAGGTTGAAACTGCTGCTGATTTTTGATGCCTAATCTGAGACTACTTCTTGTTCAATTCTTGAAAACAGGCCTGACGTACACAAATTTGGGTCATTGAATTGGTGGATTCTTGAATATTTTCTCTTATACTCCCTGTTCTCAGTAGTGCTGATGTCCTGTGGTTCATTTTTGACAGGTCGAGACTATTGAGGTTTATATTCTTAAATCATCTAGGCTGTCGTCTTAACTGCAATTTATGGGTATGCTAGCTTTTCAGTCAAAATCCCAAACTGATTTGAAAAGTTTACCTTTTATGTTAAGATTTAGTAATGTGAGACAGGTTATCATCCTGCCTTTTTCACTCTTTCTTGTTTGCAGGAGAAAGCCTGACACACTGACAAGGCATCTGGTATGAATCTGATAGATCAGTTAGAGGTAGTGGAGTCCCTGACAATTTCCCACTTGATGGGAAAATTGTAAGTTTGAAGGTAGCCAGTTCAAGAGCTGAATAAAACCTTCCAAGGGTGGCTTAAAGTTGTGTCTTTCTCTGCTGATAGATTGTAAAAAAAGAAGTGTTTTTTTTTTTTAAAACTGTCTCTAGTGGGTTATGGAATAGAGAAAATCCCACACAATTTACTGATTCGTTTTGATGCACTGGCTGGGGGAGTAGTTAGCTGATTGCACGATTTCACAATGATTACACACTTAATTTATACAACACAATTTTATTTTAAAACTCTTTACTACGTATATAACACTGCTTAGCTTTAAGAAACACCACAAACATTAAAAACACAATAATTACATATATCAGAAACAATGCTCCAAATGCACTTCCTTCCCAAACAATGCTATAAGAATTAGTGTTACAAAAACAACTACAATTACAACTAAAAGTTAAATTTGAATCAATACTGTTATTTTTCATAATATACTTACAATCCTAGAATTCCGAGAAGCCAAATACCAAAATATGGTTTCATTCCTCAGTAGTACGATTTAATGGGTTGGCCTCAGTAGTACGGTTCAATAGGCTGGCCTCAGCAATACGATTCAATGAGCTGGGCTCACCAGTGATAGGACTACGTCCCCTTCCTTCAGTCCCTTTCGGGCGCTCCGCGGCTTCAGCGTGAACTAAGAGATTCGTGTTCACGGAGAGGCTTGATTAGGCGATCAATCTAATCTGAACTTATACTTGCGATTCTTCCTTCGTTGTTCTGCAAGTGAAGTCACCTCCAAATTGGGACAGTAAGTTACAGGTTTTTATTGAGTGAGCTGCCGTCATTGGGCTCCTCCTACTCAATTCATCATAACTCCCAAATTTGGGCTCGGATCTTACTCAACAGAAATTACCTTTGTTGAGCATTTTAAATTACTCTTGGGGAAACTTCTTCCATATCACTGCAAATACCCTTTTCTTCCTGAAACTGGCTAATGGGCAACCTTTACAAACATTCAAACTATTTCATTCAATATGACAAAAACCACACAAAACTATGAGATTTTTTTTTAAACTTCAGGTTAGAGAATAAATATAAATTTATATGCCAACATAAGATTTGTCTTTTTAGCTAATTAATATATATATATTTACCAGCTATAAGGCAGAATAGCTTTATTTGAGCTCGTTGTACTTGTGGTCTTAACAGCCAGAGCTGGCAAAAAGTATAACTATATAAACAATTCCTGTCAGAACTTTCTAAAAATATCAACCTTTTTGCTCTTTTTTTGTAAAAATAAATAAATAAATAAATAAATAAATTCTTTTTATGAAAAATTTTGACTAGGTCTATTGCTGATTAAAATACAAAATAAAAATTTGGCAAACAAATTGTTGAATTAAAGATCAGCTTTTTCAAGCTCTTCCGGAACTTTGTTTTAATATTTTAAATAATGAAAATTATAATTTCAGTTATGGCAGTGACATGACTGTACCTGTTTTTTTTTCATATTATGTGAGACATCATCAACATTTTATATTTATTTGCTTTTCTGTGATACTCCTCATCAAGGCTGATTTTGTTGCAACAGTTATGGAACCTACAGACTGAAGAATCTCTGACTCCCATATGTACTTGGGCAGAGCCAGTCTTGTTGAATGACAGTTTTTTACCACTGGTTTGGCTTGTGAAATCCCTAACTGAAGTTCCTTAAGGCACAACTCTGCTGTGGGCAGAACTCTGCTGTGGGAGCAGATGACAGATGACCCAGCTTCTTATTTATAACTTACTTTGGAAAAAGAGTGTCCCCTGGATAATGATAATGTGGAACTTTTGAATATGCACTTAGAAAAAAACACTGAGAGGTCCAAGATTAAGTAAGGTACGTAAAAAGTAGTGATACTGGAGATTATAGCATAATACCTTGTCCTTTCTTTCAATAGATGTGTCCAGAAAGCACCAGAAATATCAGGGAAGTACAATGTGCATCATACAACAACAAACCATTTATGGGTCGACTTTATGAATGGGAGCCCTTCTCAGAAGGTAAGGGAAGACGGATATGCTTTGTGCGTGTTATATGGAAAGGAAAACAGCTTTAACTCAAGAAGTACTGATAGGCACCATCTCTCCTTAAGCCTGTACGAACCCTTCTCTCTTAATCCGTTGAAGCCATATGTGACAGTAAAAAGCTTAATACTGGTATTTCCTGGGGTCCAGAGCTATGAAACCACATATGTCCTTGAGTTTGTCTTAGCTAGTAAAACCAGAAGCCATTCCAAAAAGCAATGTTTTCACTTCTGTTTTTTGGGGGGTGTATCCTCAGCTGGGGTGTATCTTATGTAACACCATGTGAATGGAGCTGAGCTATTTTATGGCAGCTCAGCATCTGACCCTGGGTAATCAGGATTCTCAATAACCACAATTTATTTTTTCTGTTGACTTGTTCAACAGCTGGAATGGTGAAAAAAGAAGGATAGCTGAGTTAGGAATTTGCCTAGCTGGGAGTTGAACTGAATGCCCTGAAATACAAAAGAAGCAGCCATACTAGTGGCCTGCTACCCTTCGTGTCCCCAGTAGGAGGATGTCAGAGGGGTGCAGAGGAGTCAAACTCTCTCCTAAGGAGATGTATTTTTGGAACTTTGAGGTCCGATTTATTTATTCATTTTTGTCAGCAGTGCTTGGGCCCACCTCAGGCATAATCTGTGATTATCACTGTATAAATATTTATGGGGTGTATAGCAATTTTATTCTTTAAATATTTCTCTGTCACCTGAGAAGAGGCTAGTTTGCTTTATGTCTTATTTCCTTATTAACATTTTACAAAAGCTTGTTTCCCAGAAAACATCAACAGAATAAAGAGAACTTAAGTATAGAGAAGTGTGAACATCTGGGGGTTGTGCAGGCCAGGAGCAGTCCGAGGCTTTCGGGGGCGTGCGGCGGGCTGTGGCCAGCAGCCCTGGCACGTGGGTCGGGGAATTCGGCACGGCGGACTAGAATTAGGCACGGACGCGTAGCGGTTGATTAAAGATTATTTTACTTACACCGTAGATGGTCGCGGTGCTGGCAAGAAAACTTGCTTGCGTTGCAGTTACAGATAGAAAAGAAGAGCGGACAAGAGTTCTAACCGCGAACTCTGGTCGGCAAGACCAGTGGTCGCCGGAAGCGACGCTGCGTCGGTGGGCGGGGTTGCCGGCCGAACTCTTGCGGGTTCCTCCGAAGCTCCACCCTTCTCTTCCGGTTCTTCCACGCAGTCTCCCTCTTGCTTGGCGCCATCTTGACGTGGCGTCTCAAGATTTTCTTTCACAGCCGCCTCTTTGAC